GAAATACAAGAACTAAAAGACTCTATAAACCAAATGAACTTGACAAACATCTATAGATCATTTCATCCAACAACCACAAAACATACATTTTTTTCATGTAACATTTTCAAAGATTCACTGCATTATAGGGCCCAGAACAAGTCTCTACAAATTCAAAAGTATGGAAACCATATCCAGAATCTTTTCTAATCAAAAGTGGAACTAAACTTAAAGTCAACTATAGAAAGAGACCTCAAAAATACACAAATACATGGGGACCAGCAGTAAGCATAATGGCTATGTCACTGGACTCCCATGTAGCCAACCGTGGTTCAAGTCTCGGACCTGGTGGCTTAAACTCACGCCAGACGCGTGTGTGTGTGTGCCCAAGATCCTGAGAGGAGAATGGAGGAGAAGGGATTGTGGCATGGCCATCCCCCCTGAGGGGTGATTTCTCGCTTTCTGTTCTATTTCTCTCTGTCTTTCTGGCGAGCGCATACGCCCGATAGCAAAAACCTCTCCAAAAAAAAATACACAAATACATGGAAACTAAACAATCTACTCCTAAATGATTTCACAACTACTGAAGAAATTAAGACCAAAATTAAAAGATTTATTAAATCAATGAAATTAACACATATCTTCACAGAACCTTTGAGACATAGCAAAAGTAGTCATAGAGGTAAATTTATAGCAATTAATGCTCACAAGACAAAATTTACAAGTGGCTAATAAACAACTTATTGATATATCTCATGGAACTGAAAAAACAAAAACCCAAAATTACCAGAAAGAAAAAAAGAAATGAAAACTAGGGCAGAAGGCTAGCCATGGTATAGTGGTTAAGGCTGCTGGATCCCACATAGTTGATTGTAAAATCAAGACCTGGATTCAATGGCTTGAAAAACATACTGGATGCATGTGCATTCATGCCCAAAATCTCAAGAGAAGAATGGAGAAGGGATTGCACTGGGCGGTGATTTCTCAAGTTCTCTCCACTCTTTTCCCTCTCAAGCACACATGTCCTATAGCAAAACTATTGTTTTATATATATATATATGTGTGTGTGTGTGTATTCATGTATTATATTGTTATATATATAGTTATAACTATTTATATATATATATATTATATAAATGAAATAAATTAATAAAGAATAAATGAACTACACAAAAATAAACAAAATAAAGAGCTGGTTTTTTGAGAGAATAAACAAAGTCGATGTACTGTTAGCTAGGCTAATCAAGAACAAGAGAAAGGAATCAGGTCAATAAAATAATCAGTGAAACAGGAAACATTATAACACATAATAAAAATACAAAAGATTATGAGAGAAAATTTTAAGTGACTATGCATCAACAAACAAGAAAACCGAGATAAGAAGGAAAATTTCTGGACACATATAATTTACCTAGATTAAATCAGGGAGAAATAGAAAGCTTAAATAGACCAATAACAAGAAACGAAATTGAATCAATAGTAAATAGTCTCCCAAGAAAAACAGATCCCAATGGCTTCACTTCTAAATTCTATGAAACTGTCAACAAAGAGCTAACCACATTTTTCTTAAAACTATTGCTAAAGGTCCAAAAGGAAGGAACTCTCCCAAATCAGTTTTATGAAGCCTCCATCTCCTTGATCTCAAAATCAGACAAAGACATAACGAAAAAGATGAATACAGATGCAAAAATCCTCAGCAAGATACTACCAAATCTAATTCAGCAACACATTAAAAAAGATTATATGCTATGACCAGGAAGGCATTAACTTGAAAATGCAAGGATGGTTCAACATGCACAAAATAATAAATGTAGGGACCATCAGTTGGTATAATGGCTGTGTTTCTGGGTTCCCATGTAGCCGACCATGGTTTGAGTCCTGGATGTGGTGGCTTAAACTGATGCCAGGCACGTGTGCATGTATACCCAAGATCCTGAGAGGAGAATGGAGGAAAAGAGATTGTGGTGTGGTCATCTCCCCCGGGGGGTGATTTCTTTCTTTCTGTCTCTCTGTCTCACTCTGTCTTTCTGGAGAGCACAGCCACCCAATAGCAAAAACATCTAAAAAAGAAACAATGAATGTAATAATCTCACTAATAGAAGGAATGATAAAACCATGTGATTGCATAAATTTATGCAGAAAAAATTATTGGATAAAATGCAACATACCTTCATGATCAAGAATCTCATGGGGTACCAGCAGCTAGTATAATGGCTATGTCGCTGGACTTTCATGTAGTCTATTGCGGTTCCGGCGGCTTAAACTCATGCTGGGCGCATGTGTGTGTGTGCCCAAGATCCCGAGAGGAGAATGGAGGAGAAGGGATTGCTATGTGGCCATCCCCACTGTGGGGGTGATTTCTTGCTGTTTCTCTCTGTCTTTCTCTGTCTTTCTGGAGAGCGCACACGCCCTATAGCAAAAACTTTTCAAAAAAAAAGAATCCCAGCAAAATTGGTATAGAAGGGGTATTTTGCAATACAATAAAATCTATGACAAACCTATAGCTAATTCATAATACTGACTGGGAAGAAGCTGAAAGCTTTCCTACTAAAACCTGGAATAAGACAAGGCTACTAACTTTTCTCACTTCTTTTTAACATAGTGCTGGAAGTACTAGCCAATGACATCAGAAAAAGAGAGTAAAATAAGAGGAATTCTAACAGGAAAAGGAGAGGTAAAATTGTCCCTACTTGCATATGACACAATTACATGTATAGAAAATCAAAAAGAATCCACAGAAACTCCTAGAAGTAATAAATAAATTCAGTAAAAGTGACAGGATATAAAATCAATATGCAAAAATCTATAGTTATTTTATATATACAAACTATGAATTGTCTGAGATAGAATTAAAGAAAACAATCTGTTTACAATAGCCATAAAAACAAATGTTCATTCCTAGGAATAAACCTAACCAAAGAGGTAAAAGATCTGTATAAAGAAAACCATGAAATACTAAAAACAAGAAACTGAGTATGAGACAAAAGTGAAAGACATCTCACGTTCCTGGTTTGGAAGACTGACATAATCACAATGTCAATTCTACCCAAACTAATTTATGAATTCAATGCAATTTCAACCAAACTACCAGAGACCTTCTCCACATAAATAGAACAAAAATCATGAAATTTGTCTGGAATCGTATGAGATCCCATATCACCAAGGCAATACTGTGCAAAATGAATAAAGTAAGAGGTATCTAACTAACTGACCTCAAAATATATTACAAATCTGTAATAATAAAATAGCCTGGTACTTACACAAATACAGTCACACAGACCAATGGTACAGAACAGAGGACCAGAAATAAATTTCAACACATATTGCCAACTGTTCTTTGACAAAGGGTATAGACAGTCCAATGCAAAAAAGATCTCTTTTATAAATAGTGCTGGAAGAAATGGATATCCATTCACAGAAAACAAAACTGGACCTGTATCTCTCATCATTAACAAAAATCAATTAAAAGTGCATCAAAGATCTAAATGTGAAGCCTCAAACTATACTGCTACTGTTGAAAAACAGGGGATACTCTTACAGACTTTTTTAGGTAATGATTTCTTAAATAAAACCCCCAAAACATGGCATTAATCCCCCAAATAGACAAGTGGGTCTACATCAAACTATAAAGCTTTTGCACATCAAAGAAAACAGTAGAGTGGAGCGATAACCCTCAGAATGGGAGAAAATATTCGCAAACTATGCTTCAGATAAGAGACAATAACCAGAAAATATAGGGAACTGAAACAGCTTACCTTACACACAGAAAAAATCATAATAATAATTCAATTAAAAAATGACCAATATAAACAGACAACTGTCTGAGAAAGATGTATAAATGGCCAAAAAAAATGAAAAATGGTCAACATCTCTTATCATAATGGAAATGCAGATCAAAACCACAGTAAGATATCACTAGTTAGAATGGCTATGATTTTTTTTTTTAAAGGAACTCTAGGGAACCAGCAGTTAGCGTAATGGCTATGTCGCTGGACTCCCACGTAGTCGACCATGGTTTGTGTCCCAGATCCGGTGGCTTAAAACTCACGCTGGGTGTGGGTGCGTGTGTGCCCAAGATCCTGAGAGGAGAATGGAGGAGAAGAGATTGCGGCGTGACCAACCCCCCGGGGTGTGATTTCTCGCTTTCTGTCTCTATGTCTCTCTCTGTCTGTCTGGCAAGCACTCGCACCCTATAGTGAAAACCTCTCCAAAAAAAAAAACAAAAAAAGGAACTCTACTACACTGTTGGTGGGATTGTAAATTAGTACAGTCAGGATCTGGCAAGTGGCATGGTGGTTAAGGGTACTGGACTCCCACATAGCCAACTGTGGTTTGAGTCCCATACCTGGCAGCTTGCTTTCTCACTTTCCCTCTCTGTCTTGCTCTCTTTCACTCCATTTCTCTCTGAGACTCGAACCGCAGTCGACTACGTGGGAGTCCAACGACATAGCCATTATGCTAACTGCTGGCCTCAATATTTTTTAAAAATTAGTACAGTCATTCACTCCTACGTCAGATCTGTTTGCCATCTCAACCAAAGCCTTGTTGATTTTCTTTTCTTTTTTTCTTTGCAAGGGGGCATAGCCATTCATCAGACTATGACACAATGGGAGAGGAGAAAGAACCTCCTATGGGACATGGTCACACCAAAATCTCTTCTCCTTCATCTCTCCTTCCCATTGAACTCTTAATCATGCATGCTTATGTGCCTGACTTGGCTATCAAGCTGCTGGCTCTGGGATTCAAACTGCATAGTTGGCCATGTGAGATCCTGCTGCCTTAATCATCAGAATATGAAACTTGACCATCTTGTTAATTTCTGAAACCTGCTCATCCTTGGAAAAGCCTTTGAAATCATAGACAAGCCTCTTCATTGTCTTTTTTATGCTTATTAATCTCTATTTATGTATATGGTTATTGATTCTTATACTGGCCAATTATAAAAATACATAAACACAAAGACCAAAGAACATCTGTCTACATGATCATTTCAAACAGAGAATGGGCAAGATTTCTTTTGTAGGAACCTCATAGTTCCAGACACACATTCATCATATATGACTCACATGCCACCAGCAGTTACCATTGATCCAGAACTGATTAGCTTTTTTGTCCATTTATTCCTACCTTGTATCATTCATTAATTATTTTATGAAGAATCATTTTAAGCCCCATGATCCACAAAACCCCAATAGTAGCCTTAATAGTGTTAATCTTATCCAGCATCATTCTAACATCGATAAGTCTGTTTCATAAATTATCCTCAGTTTTTCTTTTTATTATTATTATTAGTAGTAATAGTACATTTAATCACTATACATCATTTAGATTGTGAAGAGACTTTACCCAGCATGATATACACCTCAGTCCAGCTCAGTTGAGAATATACGTGTTCTCATCAACAGATAATAAACCATATCTGTGTCTCACAAATATCTTACCTCTCTGTTTTTTCCCCAAATTTCCTTCCCTGCACTCTTCCCCTCCCACACTCTCTTTCCACTTTGTCCGTAGTGTCCATAACATTTTTTTACTACATTTATGTCCTCCAGGATTTCAGTCTGTACCATAGAGTGTGCATTGTCTTTTTTCAGATGTCATTTATACACAAAACAATACAGATTAAATCAAATGTAAGAGAAAATGATACAGGAAGACACACAGTAAACATGAGATGCATGAGATCACTGCCAGTGAAACCTAGCACAGTGTTTTACAAACTTCTTTTTAAAAGCAGAAAGAGTACACTCTAAATGAGTCAAAAGAGTGTAGTAAATACATAAGCCAGTAACATACTCATTTATTATCATTGCCCGGTACTATGTACTGTACATAATTGTGCTATACGTTTTCGTGACTGGCAATGCAGTAGGTTTGTTTACACCGACATCGCCACTAACACATTTATAATACAGTGCACTGTGGTGTTCCAATAGCTACAACATCACCAGGTGATAGGAGTTTTTCAGTTTCAATATAATCTTACAGTACTACCATCATACATGCACTATATCATCTGAAACATTTTTACATGACACACAACCGTATTTAAGATTAAGTTATTCAAAGGCTGAAATTTTCCTCTCGGTTTTTGCAAGAGGAAAACTAGGATCTTTTGTTATAAATATCAAGAAATTGGCATTTAAATCTTCTTGCAAAATGTCATAGTAATGAAATACTACTTTCTAGGGAATTTTTTAAAACCAGGAATGACAAGTTTTTTGTCATTCACTATGGATATAAACAAATTACCATTATCTTCGTGATTGGTTGCTAAGGTTTGTGTTTAGATAAATTAAATGTTAGGTAGAAATGACAGCTAACTTATAATGATCATTTTTCCCCTTGATATATTTGCTCAGAGGTATGTTTTATAAACAAAAATAAAATAATTGCTTTTAATGTATGTTTTAGTTTTCTTCTAAAATAAAGTGAGATATTTAATAATAAAAGACAAAGATAATAGTTTTGTTTATATATATATTTTGGAGAGGGTTTTTTCTCTATAGGGCACGTGCGCTCGTCAGACAGACAGAGACAGAGAGATAGAAAGCGAGAAATCACTCCCCAGGGGGGATGGCCACGCCGCAATCCCTTCTCCTCCATTCTCCTCTTGGGATCTTGGGCACACACGCACACGCACCCGGCGTGAGTTTAAGCCGCCGGGTCCGGGACTCGAACCACAGTCAACTACATGGGAGTCCAACGACATAGCCATTATGCTGTTGGTCCCAATAGTTTTGTTTATATTGACTAATGAATTCTAATGAGCAGGTGTCTACTTGCTATCCGTCCTTCATAGATACATTAGAGTGTGTAATTAATTCCTGTTTAGTAAAGTATCAATATGATTTGGTTCCTAACATATTAAATTATAAGTATTCCTTCAATAAAATTTTCATAGGCCCTTGCCTAGGCAAAAGTGTACACCCCTTGGTCAAAGAATTGTACTTGTGAGTATTTACACTTTGACAGAAACTCTCTCTTTTTATTACATTGCTTTTTCTATTAATCTGCCATAAAAATGCTATCAATTTTAAGAGATATCAATAAAATACAAATTTAAAAATGTATAATTCAGTTTACTTAAATTTACCTAAGGTTTTTGAAATTAATTACTTCAAATGGCAAGTTAAACTTGATACAAAAAAAGTTATTCCAAAGCTTGTGGGACAAAGCACATGAGTTTTGGAGTAAAATAAATTAAATCCTGGGACCAGAAGTCGGCATAATACCTATGTCACTAGACTCCCATGTATTCAACCGTAGTTCAAGTCCCGGATCTCGTGGCTTAAACTCACCCTGGGCACATGTGCGTGTGTGCCCAAGATCCCAAGAGAAGAATGGAGAAAGGATTGCAGTATGGCCGTAACCCCTGGGGGATAATTTCTCACTTTCTGTCTTCTCTGTCTCTCTCTGTCTTTCTGGTGAGCATACATGCCCATAGCAAAACACTCTAAAACTAATAATAATAATTAAAACCAAGATTATCTCTCCCTCTTTCTAAGAAATTGGGGAGTATTAGTAATAAGACAAAAATTCTTGAAAATCATTGATTCTGCCATGTAATAAAGTTTAAATCATTTGATAAAAAAAGAAAAATGAAAAAGTAGCTCACTGGATCTGTCCTGCTTGAACACAAGTTGTCAGTAGTGATAACTTGCTCAATGTTTCAGAGCGACATAAACTGTGAAGTCCTGAAGGTTTTCTGTGTATAGCCAACTTAACCTAGTCACTTACTCCAGGATCCTGAAAAGAATGAAGCCAGAATGAAAGAAAACCATGTTTGGCCAACTCTGTAGCCTAGTGGTTAAGAAAGCAGGAACCCACATGGCTGACAGCTGTTCAATTTCCTGTTCCATTGCTTGAAAAACATTCTAGGCGTGTGTGTGCATATGCCCATAAATTCCAACAGAATGGAGAAATAATGAAGGGATTGTGGTGTTACCATGCCCCATTGGGCAATGCTTTCTCCCTGTGTCTATTAAAAGGAATAATTTAAAAATTAAATAAAGAAAAACATGCTCTGAGAAAGTGGAAATAGTCAGAAGAGATCAGTGAGCTCCATAACCGTATGTCTCCAAGGCCTCATGGCTGGCAGCTGTATGCCCACTTTGAGCATATTTGTAGAAAGCATCAGCTCAAGTATGTGGTCTGAAAATATGTGAAGGGGACCCATTAAAAAAAAAATGTGTCCTCAAACTTGAAGCAAACTTAGAATTTGTGAACTAGCCAGTCAGCATATTAAAATTAATATGGTAATTAATATGCTAATTGATCTGTCCTCGAACCTGAAGTAAACTTTAAGAATTTGTGAACTGGTCAGTGACCATATTAAAATTAATATTCTAATTAGTATGCTAATTGCTCTGTGATGAATATCACTGAAGACATAAATATAAATTGCATTCTTTAGATACGTCATAATCAGTGTGAGGTACTTACAAGTATTTAATTATTATTCAACACCATGACATGTCATCCCATAGGATAACTAAGGTCAGAATATTTAGTAGTAGGTAGCTAATAAATTATCTAGCTATCTTTATTGAAAGATCCTTTGGTGAAACATTTCTTTCAAAGATATCCATTAGCCTCAAGGTTATCAAACAAAATTTGAGTTCTCAACATGTTCTACTGAAGTTTTCTATTATTTCATAATTTTAAAAATATTTTTATTTACATTTAATCATTGTATGTTTTTATAGCATATGATGTGAGTTCTCAAAGCATAAATGCTCTGCATATCAAGCAAGTCAAAGATATTACTATGTACAATAACTTTCCATTCTTTTTTTTGGAGAGGTTTTTGCTATACAGCGCATGTGCTCACCAGAAAAAGAGAGAGACAGAAAGTGAGAAATCACCTCCCAGGGAGGATGGCCATGCTGCAATCCCTTCTTCTCCATTCTCCTCTCGGGATCTTGGGCACACACGCACACGCGCCCGGTGCGAGTTTAAGCCACTGGGTCTGGGACTTGAACTGCGGTCGGCTACATGGGAGTCCAGCAACATAGCCATTATATGCTAACTGCTGGTCCCAAACTTTCTATTCTTGTGTCTGTTAAATACATATTTTTATATTCAGTGTCCCTTGCTCCCACCTCCAATTGTCTACCCCCTCCTACACAGGCTTTGGTATCTATACTTTATGTCTCTTTAATATTCTTCAATTTTTGAGTTTCTGCCATAAAGTGCAGACATTTGGTATATATTGAGGTGGACATACAGAAAGTCTATCTTTCATAACTGTCTTGCTTCACTTAGCATTGAATCTTTTATATTCATTCACTTTGTATCAAATGACAGACTCTCATCGTTTTTTTAATGGCTGAGTAGTATTCCATAGTGCATGTGCAACATTTTTTCAATTGAGTCATCTGTTCTTAGGCACTTAGGTTGATTCCACATATTAGCAATTGTAAATAGTGCTGCAATAGACATAAATGTACAAGTGTCTTTTTTTTTCCCCTCACGGTTAATTATTTTATTTTAAATTATTTTATACACTCAATTACCGTATATCATTTAGCTTATAAAGTGAATTTATCCAACATGAATACACTTCATACCAGTCCAGTTGAGGATAATATACACGTTTTCATCAACAGATAATAACCTATTTCTGTGTCCCATAAATGCCTTGCCTCTCTATTTTTCTACTTAATTTCTTTCCTCAAGTGTTTTTTCTTTTTTTTTCTTTTTCTTTTTTGACTGAGTATTTTCCTATCCTTAGGGTAAGTACCCAGGAGTTGAATTACTGGGTTGTATGGCAGTTCTATTTGTCGTTCTTTGAGGAACCTCCATATTGTTCTCCACATTAACTGTACAATTGTAATTTATATTCCCATCAATAGTGTAGGAGGGTTATTCTTTCACCACAGCCTTGCCAACGCTTGTTGTTTCTTTCTTTTTTTTTTTTATCATAGCCATTTTGTCTGGGGTTAAAAGTTACCTAATTGCAGTTTTGATTTGCGTTTCCCTTATGATAAGAGTTATTGAACATGTTTTTATATGTCTTTTGGCCATCCATATATCTTCCTGGGAAGGTGGTGCATTCAGCTCATTTACCCACTTTTCAAGTGGATCGTTT